TCTTTACGTGTCTATTAGTACCTGTACTGTCTCCTGAGAGTATTTCTCAGTTTTGAGTTTATTTATAATTAAAGCAAATTGGTGATTCACGTCTCCATAGAAGTCATCGAGCCGCGAATCCTTTTGGGAGAGTTGGTGGAGTTGGTACTCCAGGGTGCGTATGTCGCCTTTGTCGGCGTAACGGAGTGATAGACACTCCTTCATGGCAGTCCAGTCAGTGTCAAAAATACTATAGGATATGAGGGCAGTATCAGCGGGCCCCCGTTTCTTTTGGCGAATGTGCTTTAAAATCGTACGATAGATTGGCTTACCCTTTACCAGCTCGAAATCAGTAAGGATGCTCTCGACAGCATGCACCCATAACACAAACATCGTTGGATTACCGTTGAACACCTTTAGCTCCATCACAGATTCTGGAAGTCTCAAGATATCCCTCAGTTCCGCCTCCATTGCTGGAGCTCGGGTCTGAACTTGTACTTCTGCTTCCACTCCATTTAGCTACGGTGTAGCAGCTTCTATCAAAGCGATCCTGTTTTGAAGTGTGTCCAAGATTGATACACGCCTCTCTATACCATTCAGCTGGTCCATAAGTGCGTTAACTGCACCAGTCAATCTCGTTACGTTTTCCTGAAGCGAATCCATCCTGGAAATAAACAATGAAAAATATGCAGACGAAAAGTGGTTATTTTTACTCACAACACTGCATGGATCATTTATTTGTCGCTTGATTATTTTTTGATTAGTTTCACTTAAGCACTTTAATAGCTTTTTGATATTTTGTTTACTGACTTCTTTTAGATAGCCCTGTAGCTAATTTTTATTTTTCACTTTTATTTAGTACTAGCCAATGCCCGCTTACTTCGCGGTGCCTAATTAGAACTTTTGCGTTGGCCAATGCAAAAGAGCGTTTAAAAGCAAAAATAGTCTGTAAAGTCAAATTTTTTGGTTTAAGTTGAAACCATTAAGGCGCAGTATCCTCCTCACACATAGGCCAATAATAGTAACGCTGTGATGCCATATGGAATACCAATTCCTTTCGGTGTCATGAGCTTTACCGAGGGTCTTATTTCCTTATCTGCCAAGCATGCGTAATCTTTTTCTATGATCTTGCAACTACAACATTGGTGCGATGCATATGCCAATAAAAGTTCTTATAAGGAAAATCAAAAGCACAAAAGTGCGTTTTCTGTTATAGGAGGGCCAAGAATCCTCGCTGTCCCACAGGATGAAAAGTTGGCTAAATGAATCGTGTGATCTCTTAAGTATCTTTCAAATGAAGCAATTGATATAACTAAGGTGATCTTTCCTTGTTAATTCGTCACTTCTACAATTCGTGGTAATATTTATGAACTGATTTCTAGGTAGATGTCAGATCGCATGTTCGTGCATGAGGGCGTCAGACAAACTTAGCCCCATCCTTCTGCTACTAAATTCGTATAACTTAAACATAGGGCCAAAGCAGACCAACCACATGGGGTTTCTATACATTTTGGCTGCAGCTCCATCCATTGGGTCCATTTTCTGCAAAACCATTGCTTACCATAAAATGATAACCTGTTATGAATTTCAACCTCGACTCCAGCGGCACTCATCGGATCAATTTTTATCAAAAGAATTTTACATCATACAGGTACATAGCTCACATTTCAAATTTCAACGAAATCGGTGAATAAATACAATTTTTATAAATAGCTCTACTCCAGCACCACCTAATGAGTTTTCTATTTAGTAGCTTGTAATAGGACCATATATGTATGTAAGATAACCTCCGACAATCTGACGGAACTCTATTCAGTGGTTTTTGAGTTTAGTCCGAACAACGAAAACGGCTATCATTTTATGCAAATAGGTATGTAGATAATATTCTTCAAAATTTTCATATAAATTTTACCGTTTACTAAAAATTAAAAACAAAGCAACAATAGTTCAACGGGATTTAGAAATCTAGGAGAAAATGGTTCCCAATGGAATGATACTTACGCGTTTAAGTAAATGTATATCGATCCAGCCTTTCCAATGATTACCACTTTTCGCCATAAGTACGGTATTGATAACATATGTATGTGGCTGTGCCAAATTTCAGAAAGTTAACGTGCGCGTTTCCAGAGATAAGTGAAAGGAGAAGCATGGGGGTGCCACGCCCCTTTTTCCATTACTTACCACTTTTCGCCATATGTATGTAGCTGTGTCGAATTTCAAGAAGTTAGCGTAAGAGGTTCCAGAGATATTTAAGCTATATGAGAAGTTCAGTTTGTTTGGAAGGTACCACGCCCCTTTTCCAATGCATTTGCAATGTATGCATCATGTATGTATGCTAACTCTAAATATAAACAACGACACACTGGAAAAAGTTAATACATTCAAATACCTAGGAATAATGATCGACGATAAACTAAAACAAACAAACAAAAAATGGTTTCTATATTTTCAATTAGAACTCTAGCAATATGTACATCGGTGAAAACTGCATTTAATTCCATACTTTAGTTTTTGCGTGATGCGCTTACAAACATACAGACAGACAGACCAAAATCATAAAAATTTTAGATTTAGCTTCTGTTGATGTAATAAATCCCCTATTCATTTTTCTTTAACATCTCTTATGTACAGATATCGGCCTGTTGCAATTTTGATATTCTCAAATTCTTTCGTTTGATACCTATATGGCAACATTTAGATTATCTTATAAATTTAACTAAATGAAAGTTTTCAAATAATGTGGCAACTCGCTTCAAAAATATTTTCAAAAGTAAGCTACCTAATCATCTTTAGTTTAATGTCCGTATTGTAATATTTCATTTATTTTACAAAATTAAAATAAATAAAAATTTTCAAGCAGTTAGCAAATCCCCTAAAAATATTTTCGGCATTAAAAGTTCCTAGCCTCTTTATTTGATGCCAATATTGCAATATTTAATTTATGCTATCAATTAAATTAAGTTAAAGTTTAAATTAAATATTTTCAGCTGTAAGCCTTTGTAAACCTCTTTCTTTTGACAGCCATATTGCAATATGTTTAGGCCAACGGCCTAAATTTGTCGCAGCATTTTCGACCCACCCTAATGCTTAACATAACTTCATTATTATGTCAACTGTCGAACTGTTTACTATTATGTTACTTATGCTAAAATGTCCCTTCGGTAAATAAACAGTTCGACAGGCAACAGTAATAAGAAATTTAAACCGGTGACTTACTCGTTTTCCGAGAGTGAATCCAAGAGGACGTGTTCCAGCCATTGTGTTCCTGAGTCAAATCAAAGGTAACCTGTAAAACCAAATATATACATACATATATTAATACCAATATCGATATTGAATAAACACGAATTTATATTTAATATTAATACAAACGTTTTGCTTTATTTCTCATTCCAACAAATTAAATCGGCCACGACCTTGCTCAAGCGTTGTGCCGGTTTAACATACGGGTCCTTCAACGCCGTAATATTTGAACATCTACTTGCCAGCGCCCAGCTTTTTGAGCCAATCTGAGGATTTTGAGCCAATCTGAAGCAGCCGTGTATTTGCAGCAGCTACAAATTTTTTGCACCAAGCGACCACAGGAGCTTCCAGCATCAACAGCACCAACACATATACACGAACACCGACACCTGTTAATAAATAAAAGCATAAAATTTTTTAAATTAAAGGCACGTGGTCCAAATTTCACTGGACTTAGATTATCTTGTGTAACATTTATTTGGTTAATAATTAAGAAATCGCGAGTGATTTTGTGAAAATTTATAGTTTTAATTGCAACCGAAGTGCTAAGTGACAAACACACACGCGCATATATATGTACATACATTTGTGGGCGCTACAGCCATTTCAATATTAAACATGTGCGATCGGGTATATAAACAAGTAATTTTTAGCAAAAAAAAAACCGACTTAAAAAAAATATATATATATCTATATATTTCATGATCCAATGATCGGATCTAAACCAAATTAGTATGGGAGACCTCTGAAATCGGTTGATGTGGTGCAAAGTTATGCGGTAACATACATAAAAAAAAAAAAAAAAAAACATATTCCGACGAACTGATAACCTCCTCCTTTTTTGGAAGTCCGTTAAAAAAAAGGCGGTGTTTTGTTTTCCTTGTGAATTTTCGCGACACAATTTGCAAGAAGTTTCTTTACGGTGATTAATTCAAATAGTTTAATTTTATTAATCATATTTTCCTTGGTGACTTGCATTTTACTTCCGAAATTTGCCAACAACAACATTGCACTTGTATTGGGTTTACATAACCAAACTTTTCACTGCACCGAACTTTGGCACTTGCAATATTTCCATTTCACAAAATCACTTTCGCGTTTGCATTTAAGTTATTAAAAAACCAATACATATTTTGGGACTATTCCGTATTAGCTAAATTGCTGTGTTTTCGATATACATTATTTATTTGCACTTGTCGTATAAAGCGGTTGTACATAAGAATCACTGGTTTGGTTGGCGACCAATTTCTTGTTAACAAACAAACATACATACATACGTATTCTTAAAACGCATTTATATTGCTAAATCGGTGTGAATAAACATAGAAAGTTTACAGATACAATTTGAAGGAAAATTAGAGAATTTTTGTTACTTTGTGGTTGAATTGGTGGTATTTTGGTGGTGCATTCTGCTTATATACATTGGGTATATAGTTTTGGGTTACCTTGACATAGGATTTTCTTCGTGTGCTACATTTACGGTTGGAAAATCGGCTTTTCTTGAGTCAGTCTCTCATAGTGATACTTCCAAAATTTCCTTGGGAAGTTGTTATTTCGTAAGTAAGTGGAAAAATTAAATAAAATGGAAACATACACCCGGTTAGCAGATTCGGTCATTGAGTTTGACACAGAATTTCTGAGCACTCCCACAGGTGAGCACACCAAACATTCTCTGAAAATTCAGCAAAGCGAGCGTAGTGTACTGTGAGAGAAAGCCAAAGCACTCTTTGACGAAGTTCTGACTACTGACTCAACTAGTGCTAAAGATCTTAGCGCTATAAGAAAGAAAAGTAAGATCTGCTATGCAGCATTTGTCCGGTGTATGACAAAAATTAACGAATATTCCGAAAAGTTGGAAAAATCAGAAAAGGAAAGTGAAGAGATGTCACTCGCGTCGCATAGTTTGCATCTTACACCTTGCGATATTGACGTTTTTAAAGGTGACTATCTGTCGTGGCCAACTTTTCGTGACATGTTCACGGCAATTTATATCTTGAACAAACGGCTTACACCCATACAGAAGCTTTATTATCTGAATCAGAAAACGCAGGACGAGGCCAAAGAAATTGTCAAGAAATGCGACTTAACGAATGAAGGCTTTAACACAGCCTGGAAGAATNACACCCATACAGAAGCTTTATTATCTGAATCAAAAAACGCAGGGTGAAGCCAAAGAAATTGTCAAGAAATGCGACTTAACGAATGAAGGCTTTAACACAGCCTGGAAGAATCTTTGCGATAGATACGAAAATAAGAGGATCCTAGTTAACACTCAGTTGAAGATTCTCTTCAACTTGAATACAGTTGAGAGCGAATGTGGAAGCTCAGTAAAGAGATTACAAAGGGATATAAATAATTGTATATCATCCCTAGAGAGTCACCAGATTGACATTTCAAACTGGGACCCTATTATTACGTATCTGTGTTCTACTAAACTACCTGAGGAAACCCTTTCGCTGTGGGAACAATCGGTAGANTAAAGAGATTACAAAGGGATATTAATAATTGTATATCATCCCTAGAGAGTCACCAGATTGACATTTCAAACTGGGACCCTATTATTACGTATCTGTGTTCTACTAAACTACCTGAGGAAACCCTTTCGCTGTGGGAACAATCGGTAAAAAATAAAACAGGAATATCCAAGTGGTCAGATATGGACCGATTCCTTTCAAGCAGGTTTCAAACGTTAGAATCGGTTTCAGGTTTAAGAGGAATCAAGACTTCGAAGTTTTCAAAAGTGCCAAGTCATAAGCATTCCTCTGAACCTTCTCACAAGAAACTTGGCGTTTTTCAAACTAGTGTCGCCAAATACATGTGCAAAATGTGCCAAAGCAACGAGCATAGAATTCATATGTGCCCAAAATTTCTGAAGATGTCTGTAGCTGATAGAATCTCCTTTGTAAAAACAAACAATAGCTGTTTTAACTGTCTGTCTTTCGGACATTCGGTGTCGAAATGCACGAGTTCTTACAACTGCGCCAATTGCCATTCTCGACACCATACGCTCCTACACAATCAGACAGCACCGCCTAAAACAGCTACCAGGGAAAATACTTCTAATCTTGCCGACAATTTACCATCAACCTCCAGACAGGCACAATTGAGGAATCAAGCTTCAAAGGAGAAAAGTAAACAAGTAAAAAAGGTGCAATCACATCACGCTAATACTAGCAAAGGCGTTTTACTCGGCACTGCTCGGGTTACTATTCATTATAATGGCAAAAACTATGCTGCTAGAGCTCTTATTGATTCTGGCTCTGAGTGTTCCTTCATTACGGAGAGGCTCAGACGCAGAATAAACTTGCCTACAAAGAAAATGCATGCTCAAGTTTCGGGCATCAATAATACGGTTTCTGCACAGGTAAAAGAAGCGTGTTCTATACAGTGGCGTTCACCGATTGACCCATTCATTTCAATTGATGCTACCAACTCTTACCGGGAATTTGCCAACTTGCGACATTAGCGCACTAACACAACAAGCTTTTTCTGATCTCATCCTGGCAGATAAAAGGTTTTATGTAAATGAGCAAGTCGATCTTGTCTTGGGAGAGGACATATATCCCCATATAATCTTGAGTGGCATTAAGAAGAATGTTCTTAGTACCCTTCTGGCACAAGAAACAGTGTTCGGTTGGATACTGACTGGTCGTGCTGATGCAGTCAACTCAACCAACGATAATAGAGTATCGTTCTTCAATGAAGTGGCCCTAGACAAACAGCTAAGCTCTTTTTGGGAACTTGAGGATCTTCCACGAGATAAAACTGCAACAGCTGAGGAAGCAAAGTGCGAGGAGCTTTACAAGCGTACAACACAGCGGAATCCAGATGGGAGGTACATCGTGTCGCTTCCTTTCAAGGCGGAGTTCCCGGCTGATATAAACTTAGGGCCATCACTCAAAATCGCGTTTTCTCAATTTTACAAGAACGAAACTCGACTTAGAAAAAATCCAGACTTACAGAGGGAATATAACAAAGTCATAATGGAATACGAGACAATGGGCCATATGTCTAAAGTTAATGCAATTCAGTCAGCAGATGCAGTCGACAGTTACTATTTACCACATCACGCTGTGGTAAAAGAAGAGAGTACTACGACAAAGGTTCGGGTGGTTTTCAATGCTTCGTCGTCTTCAGCCAATGGTGTCAGCCTGAACGATATTCTTCTTCCAGGGCCAGTGCTTCAGTCTGATTTACCAGTGTTGATTCTCCGCTGGAGACTTTTTAGATACGTCTTCAATAGCGATATTGAGAAGATGTATAGGCAAATTCTTGTAGACGCCAACCAAACGAAGTACCAACGAATAATTTTCCGTACGTGTCCAAACGAACCAATTAGTATTTACGAACTAAAGACGGTTACTTTCGGTATAAATTGTGCTCCTTATCTCGCGATAAGGACATTGCTCCAGCTAGCTGATGACTCAGAAAGCCTCTATCCTATAGCCTCGAACATTTTACGAAAAAATATGTATGTCGACGACGTTCTTGCCGGAAGACATACTATTGACTNAGGAAGCAAAGTGCGAGGAGCTTTACAAGCGTACAACACAGCGGAATCCAGATGGGAGGTACATCGTGTCGCTTCCTTTCAAGGCGGAGTTCCCTGCTGATATCAACTTAGGGCCATCACTCAAAATCGCGTTTTCTCAATTTTACAAGAACGAAACTCGACTTAGAAAAAATCCAGACTTACAGAGGGAATACAACAGAGTCATCNGACTTACAGAGGGAATACAGCAGAGTCATCATGGAATACGAGACAATGGGTCATATGTCTAAAATTGATGCAATTCAGTCGGCCGATGCAGTCGACAGCTACTATTTACCACATCACGCTGTGGTAAAAGAAGAGAGTACTACGACAAAGGTTCGGGTGGTTTTCAATGCTTCGTCGTCTTCAGCCAATGGTGTCAGCCTGAACGATATTCTTCTTCCAGGGCCAGTGCTTCAGTCTGATTTACCAGTGTTGATTCTCCGCTGGAGACTTTTTAGATACGTCTTCAATAGCGATATTGAGAAGATGTATAGGCAAATTCTTGTAGACGCCAACCAAACGAAGTACCAACGAATAGTTTTCCGTACGTGTCCAAACGAACCAATTAGTATTTACGAACTAAAGACAGTGACTTTCGGTATAAATTGTGCTCCTTATCTTGCGATAAGGACATTGCTCCAGCTAGCTGATGACTCAGAAAGCCTCCATCCTATAGCCTCGAACATTTTACGGAGAAATATGTATGTCGACGACGTTCTTGCCGGTGGACATACTATTGACTCGGCGATAAAAGCCAGGGATGAGATTTCTGCAGTTTTAAAATCAGCTGGTTTTCCACTTAGAAAATGGACTTCGAATTGCAATAAAATATTGCAAGGCATACCAAAAGCACATCTTCTGAGTGAAAATTTCTTAGAGTTTGAGGAGACAAGCTGTGTAAAAGTACTAGGTATAAGGTGGAACGCGCATTCCGACCAATTTTATTTTATAGCCAAGCCAATAGAAGATAACGTCAATCCATCCATCCCTAAACTCTTTGACCCATTAGGTTGGCTAGCTCCAATGATAGTTGTTGCGAAAATACTTATGCAGAGCATATGGTTATAGGGTACAGACTGGGACGAGACGGTGTCCCCAACAATACTAGATAGATGGCAGAATTTCACGAAAAATTATCAGGAAATCAATAATATAAGGATACCACGGTGGGTATCTTTCTCACCAAAGGAAAAGGTAGAGATTCACGGATTCTGCGACGCATCCAATTCCTTGCCTAGATTAGAACTTTGCGGGGCGGTATTACTGTCAGAAATAGTCGAATCATTCACCAAAAATCTTGAATTAGGCCACCTAAACATACTGACTGACTCGACGATTGTTCTGGCGTGGATATGCAAGCCCCCATGTTCGTGGTCTACCTTCGCTGCCCACCGAATTACAAAAATCATAGACAAAGTAGGGAACTTGAGCTGGCTTCACGTCGATTCAGCTACGAATCCCGCAGATTTAGCAAGCAGAGGCATACTGGCGAACAAATTGGTCAAAAATTCTTTGTGGTGGCAGGGACCTTCTTGGCTACAAGAAAATAGGGAAAAATGGCCTACCCAAGAGACAGACTTCACCACGAGCATTGAGGAAAAAAGGATGCACGTTCATTCAACAACATCGACAGACAAAATCCATGATNTGAGGAAAAAAGGGTGCACGTTCATGCAACAACATCGACAGACAAAATCAATGACATTCTTGACCGGTTTTCTAGTTTACCGAGGGCTTTGAGGGTGATATCTTATATATTGCGTTTCTTTCAAAGAACCCATCCGAAGACAAAAGCTTCTTTTCAGTCGGAATCTTGCTTAATTTCATCTAATGAAATTAAATCAACGACTACTCGCCTGATTAAACTTTCTCAGAAGCAACATTACGGAGCAGACATCGCAAAACTGAAAACTACAGAATGCATCGAGTCTAAGAGTGAAATACTCCCTCTTAATCCGTTTCTGGATAAAGATGATGTGCTGCGGACGGGGGGTCGTCTTGGTACATCTCTGGATCTAGCGTACAACGAACGGCATCCAGTAATACTCTCATACAATTGTAGATTATCCCGCCTGATTGTCCAATTCATCCATGAAGCTTCTCTCCATGGTGAGAATCAACTAATGTTGCGTCTCATACGAACGCAGTATTGGATTCCGAAGGTGAAACGATGATAAGGTCCACAATCCATAACTGCAAGATCTGCACTATCTATAAAAAACGCGCGCAAGGCCAACTAATGGGGATTCTTCCACAAGAGCGAACAACTTTTTCGCGACCATTTACCAATACTGGGGTGGATTTTGCTGGACCATTCGACATTAAGAGTTATCGTGGACGAGGCTGCCGAATTTCAAAGGGTTATGTGTGTCCATTTGTCTGCTTTTCTACCACGGCCATTCATTTAGAGGCCACAAGCGATTTGAGTACTCAATCGTTTTTAGCAGCATTTTCCAGATTCGTTTCCAGACGAGGGTGCCCAAAAAATGTGTACTCAGATAATGGGACAAACTTTGTAGGAGCATCACGGGCTTTAAAAGCGGAACTAAAGGCATTTCTATCCGAAGCGCGGACTAATACGTTATCAAAATATGCCCATCAGGCATTGACTTGGCATTTCATACCTGCCGCAGCTCCGCACATGGGTGGTCTGTGGGAGGCAGGTGTGAAAAACCACTTTAGAAAGATCGCGTCTAATATGAAGTACACATTTGAGGAATTCAACACTACTATGCCGAGTTGAGTCGTGTCTCAACTCACGTCCACTGAGCCCGGCTTCCAATGAACCATCTGACCTTGAGCGCTTAACTCCAGGTCATTTTTTGGTAGGCGGACACATCTTGGCTCCACCAGAACTAGATGTGAACGAAAACCCAGCCTCGATCGGCAATCGTTGGCAGAAACTGAAAGCCTTGCATCAGAACTTCTGCAGGAGGTGGAAAACGGAGTACCTTACCGAACTACAGAAACGGATAAAGTGGAAACATCCTAAATCCAACATAAAAGTGGGAGATATGGTGGTCATAAAAGAGGATAATCTTCCACCTAACGAATGGAGATTAGAAAGGGTGGCTAATTTGCACCCAGGTTCTGACAATCGGGTTCGTGTTGTCGACGTGAAAAGGGCAGAGTGACAAGACCGCTTGTCAAACTGGTATTGCTACCACCCAACGCTCCAGAGACTGATGAAACAACATCCTCTACCTAAGCTACAAGCCAATATTAATTCGACGCCTGAACGGTTTTTATCATAGATTCTCGAAGACTTAATTAATCCCACTTCCTTTAATTTCTAAGAATTCCACCTCTCATCAAAAAGCATCAACAGGGATCGGAGTATTAAACAAAAAAAGGTATATATATTGCAACGAAAATAGAAATGTATAGCAGCAGGCAAATAATGGAGCCCCAGCCATAGTCGTAACCCTCCCTACATACATGCTTGATAAATGATTACTATAAGTTACAATACCACTCAGAAAAACTTACCAGTCTCTGCTGAATTCTCGTAGATGCCTTAATTTGTTTCAGGGAGCTGTCTTGGCTTCATTACAGCACGGGAGCTTAATTGCTTTATCTGCTGGAGCTCATTCTGGTTTATCTACGTATGCTCGCACGCCTGCCGGTTAAGATAATTACCCGGACGCACAGCTAGTGGATAACCGATAATCCCAGAAATCCTGCCCCCACCGTCAGTTACATGCACACGTTTTCATATTTTCACCTTTCCATCTCCTCTCCATTTCCGAACTGATTTTTTTTATAAGCCCCCGCTCGACACGCAACAATAGAAATGCCAAGTCACAGACGTGAATTTCGAAAAATATTTTATTGAACTTCATACCAATCTTCACAAAGAACTTTGGTGTTTTTTATTAATCAATTCTAATCTAGAAGTCACAAATTTCGCTTATGTCAATATTCCACAAATTCTATCCGAAGCAATAAAGTTTGAGTTAACAATGTTAAGCTATATATTGGTTCTTTTTTCTCAAAAAACTTAGAGTCCATATCGAAGTATACACAGAATTTATTTTATTTTTTTTCCTATATATACACGTTCTCTCATTTCGTTTCTTTTACATTCCATGGTAAGTTAGCGCAATGTGGTAAGAACATTAAAACGACTCCACCTTATAGCACGAATGCATTCATCGGGTTAAACACCGGTCTAGAATTTAGCATAGGGCAGACATGGGCACTTTTTTGCCCGCGCAGTAGCGAAAGTGCGAGCGCGGGCTGGAGAAAGGGAAAAACAGTTTACGGGATGAAGGGTATGAAAAGTTGCGAAAAAATTATTTATATCCCACCGACATCATGTTCATCGCAGTACGGCTGCGGTATAGAGGTGCAAAACTATCGATGGCACTATCGATAGTATCGATGTTTTTTATTTTTCCCTACTATCGATTGTTTTTTGGTCCTATCGATAGTCCGACAGACATGTGATTCGGTATTTATTTTAGTTTTATTTCTTCTTTTCGTTTCTCTTAAACATCCAAGTTGAACTAAAAATTTGGTTGCTACTTTTTTAAAAGAGTAATGTCAAATTTCGAAAATGACGCAAAACCTTGCATCTTTTAAAATACCGCTAAAAAACTGATACAAATTAATTTATACCAAAACTTTCCATATTATCTACCACCACTATTTATTATTTATGAAAAGGTAAATACAAACCATTACTTCTCAGATAAAAAATGGTTTCTTCTTCTAAAATTGAAATTTACTTGATGAATACCTTATATATGACGGAGGATATCTAAAACCACAAATATAAAATTTCAGTATGCCCAATTTTTTTCCATTTCAATTCATTTCAAATTTTCAATAACTTTACTTCTAACTTAAGGGTTAAACAATTAAAAAAAGTGTACAGCAGTTTACAAGAATATCCAAACGTAGTTTCGAAATATATTTTTAAGGAAATCTTCATACGAAAATTGAGCCAAAACCATATAAATACGATACTATCGACGATATATCGATAGTTTTGAAAATAATCTCGAAAACTATCGATGGTCTGACTATCTATAGTTTTGCACCTCTACTGCGGTAATACTGACTTTGTGTACC